CAACCTTTCTGGGGGAAACCTGGTCTGATTTGGGGAGACAGCATCCATCCCACTTCGGATGGTGTAGATCTTCTTTCATAGAATGTGTCTAAATGTTTTAGTCCTGCAAATCCCAGACAGACCAGGAAGCAGAGTCGTATTTTAACAGACCTCTCTGCAGATTCTCTACTGTTACCAACTCATTACTCCATCCAGACAGTGTGTTGCCCGTAACCAAAATCAAATAAAGTAGAAAAGAATCCTCAAGGAGAAAATCATGATAATGTAATTAAAACCAAAATCAGTCCAATTGGGAAAAAAGTTAAAACTATTAAATGTGGTTTATAATTTCTTTTTCTTTGAAAAGTCTCTGAGTTAATGACTTGATTTGTGAAAATCAAATTGATTTATGTTGCCTTACGGAAACTTGGCTGCAGCAAGAGGATTATGTGAGTATAAAAGAGGCAAATCTTTCTAGTTATTTAAATTTTCACATACCCAGAAATTCTGGGCGAGGAGGAGGAATAGCAACAATCTTTCAGATTTACTTACAGATTACTCGAAAGTCACTTAAAAATTACAACTATTTTTGAATTTTTAACCCCCTAGTTTCCCTCATCCAAATTTAAAAGCAACAAAACCTCTTCTTTTTGTGAATTTTAATCATCCACCAGGTCCTTTTAGATGAGTTTTCATAGTTCCTATCTGATTTTGTGTTAAAGTACTGACAAGATCATCATAGTGGGAATTCTGACATCCATTCTGACGCTTAAATTCATTAATTAATTCATTAAATTCATCTTAGACTCGATTTACTTTTTTCAAAATGTCAATAGTCCCACACATTCTTATCTTCATACTTTGGATCTTGTGCTGAGATACGGCAAAGAATGTGAAGAAATAACAATGTTTCCTCACAACCCTGTTCTCTCTGATCAGTTCTTCTTCCCCCAAAGAATGTTTCACTTTAGCAGATCATTATCAGATAATGCAGTCATACATTTTTAAAAATGTATGAGTCAGCACAACTATTGTCTTCATCTAAGCCTTCACCCTGCATGTTAGATCCAGTTCAAACCAGGTTATTTAAGGAGGAATTCCCTTTGATTTCCTCCTCCCTTTTAGATGTGATTAATGCATCTCTGGGTTACGTACCAACGACTTTTAAGGTTGCTGTAATAAAACCTTTGCTTAAGAA